TTGAGATGGGAATAGGAGAAAATTGCTTAAGATACCTGCTTCTCACTGGGGACTAAGCCATGACAGAGATTTATATCACACCCATTTTCATGCAGAGGATGTCATTTGCATATGAGTTATAGCCTTGTCACACAGAGAAAGAAAGTCAGCAACTAGCTAAATCTTCACTTGTGGGAGATGTTTTGCTGGCCTGTAGCACCTTATCAGCAGGGAGAAAAGGGGTGCTATGATAATGAAAAAAATCTCATTCTTCCTGTGTCTTGAAAAAGCTGTGCAAGAAAAACAATGTAGCCTCAGATTGCACTGGTGCTCTAAATCCTCACTTCAGTGCTGGAATCTTCCCTGCTCAACAGAGTACCAGCAGAAGCCTCCAGAGAGAAAATGCTCCCTCCACACTTCTGAAGGAATCATCTTTACAGCAACCTACAGCTTATAGGTAGGATTAGGTAGAAGGTAGGATTACTATTCATGGCACACTTTCATAAAAAATACCTACCATCTTATTCTTGCCCTGCTCCCACTGCAAAACAACAGCCATCTTCTATTAAAAAATGTAAAGGGATCTTTGCAAAACCTACACTTCCATAACCCAGGAATATCCCATTCAAAACTAGGACAAAGGTATCTGAGGTACAGGACTCAGAAGAAAACAGCTACAAATGATCAATGATTGTCATGATTTATGTTCAGGTTGCTTGGATTTTGGACTGGGGCCTGACCAACACAGCAGGTCAGATGATGCCATCCTTATTCATACGGGTAATGTTGTTATGAACAGACCAGCTGGATTGCAAGGCTAGCACTTAAGCAGAAGCAAATATGGCATAGGATTTCCTGGGGATTAATGACTGGCTGAGAGTTGATGATAGCCAGAAACACAGGCAGTCATTAATCTTAATCCTCAGGAAATGATGTCTATCAAGGTCATTATTTCTGTAATTAGATAAAAGCAAACAAATACCTAATGTCATACAGATATTTGTATTTTTAATGAATGATGATGTCTCAGCTGTAATGTAAAGTTCACATCTCATTAACAAACATCCTATACATTCACCTGCTAGAGTGGCTGAACTCTTATCTTCTTATAAGCTTTATGCTGAGACCAAGATTTTGAAGGGGAGAAGCCTTTCTTGTCTAGACTGTTAAATCCACAGCATGACTGCACACCTGCCTGATTATAAAGAGCCAAATATCCAGCAGCTCCCACTGATCTCAGATATTACTCATCTGTCAGAGGTGGGCTGAACGCCTTGCAAGCCTGCTGATTCTGGAGAGTTTGCAAGCTGGCTTTTAAAAGACAGCCACAAGCCATACAAAGCCACATTTATTATGTGAAAAGGGAAAAGAAGGATAGGGTCATAAGTGTGCAATAGTATATAGGGACTGCTCTGTTTATCGACATTTTTGGAAAGTAAATCTTACTCTCTCATTTCATGTTATCCTACTTGCAATCAAGTGCATTTTTAATATGCTTTCAATTGCAGCAGAGGTTGGTTCTGACTTCACAAATGAATTATTCAGAAGTAAATTTGATGAGCTGGTTTTCTATAAATACACTGAATGTTAATGCAGTAATAATGGTGTGTAGGTCAAGCTGATCTTTAACAGTCATATGGCCTATTTATACACTCTATACAGCTTTTGCTACCAAGAGGATGCAGATGGACTTCTTTTCTGTCACCCTTGCAAAATCCACATAACTCCAAATGACAGTGCAGTGTGCCTTCTAATGCCCCCATTTCCCTTGCAATTGTTCAAGGGAATGTAACAGTGAATTTTATTACTGACTTAAAGAGAAAGAAAAGCTGGATCTCTCAGCAGCAGTGCAAAAATTAGAAATGTAACTTCTAAAGGCAATATTTGATCTAGAAGCCCTCAAGGATCAAGCACAGAGCTCCCAGACTTTATCCACACTTTTCCAGCCACTGAAAAGACAGTTCACTTGGCTGTGACAGCTGCAGTGTGGCTGGTGACTGATCGGGAAGTGATCTGATGAACGGACCCAGCAGTCCAGAAAGACAGCAGGTGCTGAAGAAGCCATCTTATGGGAGAAGGCTGAAAGAAGGAGGGTTCAGGTGACTGAGATCCAGTATGAGACGGGCCAAGAAGTAAATGCTAGAGAAATGCAGTAAAAGGAAATGAGACAAGAAGGAGGAAAATGTCAGGAGTATGCCCAAGTGCAGGGCCTGCCAGAGTCCCTGTGTATGTGGCAGCTTTGATAGACACCTTTCAAACTTATTTTTTTATTTCAGAGTGGCACCTTTTAATGCTCTCATAAACTGTTTTTCTGCAAATCCAACAGATTCAGCAAAGGATGCAATGTTTTTGACCTATTGATCTAAGTCATCATCTGGCAGAAATATGAGGAAATTTAAGCTAACTAAAGCAAGAATGAAAATTTTTTATAACATATTTCTGCTCTTCCTTTGAGTGTGATCCATACTTGCATCAAATGATTTGGAAGAAAACCTTTAGCCCCATAGGTCATGCAGCAGTTCCATCACCATCCATTACATGAGTGCAGCAGAGCTAATTTTCTTTGCTTACGCAAAACTCAAAACTGTTGAGTTTTTTTGGGAAAGGAAAGGACATGTAAATTGGAGAGAGCCACATGGGCCAGAGAAGGCCTGGTGGTACTCATTTACATTTCTACATCTCCGCAGATAATGGGTTTACAGAGCAAAGGACTGATTTCTCAGACACTTAATAAATATTATTTCCTTCAATTTGTAATAATGAAATGCTATCAGCTTAAAAATTACTTATTTGGCATGGTAAAAGATTCTTAAAATAAAGATGATGCACCAGTTTGGTTCTTCAATGTCTTATACACAGATTAAAACACAAAAAGATGGGGAGAAATTTGGTCGGTAAAATTCATACAGATCCAAGTAGATAATGAATATTGTATACAGTAGGTACCCACATGTATTTTCACATATAGTTTTTAAGTGAATGTCAGATTAAAATACAACGACATTTAATGTAGTAACTAGCATTACCTGCCTCAACCTGACACATTATTTACATAAAATGAATTTTTTCTTTAATGGAGGTTTGCAGAATAAGCTGAATACAGAATAATTAATACAGACACTCAAAAGCTTAAAATCTCAGAAAACAACATTAGTGTGTTCAGTACTCCTCATGTTTGCCCTCCAAACTGCCTGCTGTGCAAAAGATCTTGAAAGCTGAGTCTGTGTACAAATGAGGTGGTGCCTCAGAAAAGGTTAATAATGTGTGACCGAAACATGGATGCATTTTTCACAGATTTTTCCTAGTCATAAGTCTGTTTATAAAAAGCTAAAACCAGTGTTCCACATGCAATTGAATGAATTGCACTTTCATGCTCTCATGAACTAAAATTTGAATTCTGTAAAGTCAGCAAAAGCTTGAAATACTGGCTTCTTTATCTATACCAACTTAAATATCTGCACATACATAGGCTATTTCCCAGCAGCTTTTAGGCCATTTCCTCAAGAAAAGTTTGCCTTAAAATACAGAGTTTACAGTAAATGTAAGTAGATTCTTTTGCCCCTTTGTAAATTTAGTGTCCTAGTTTTAATGAAATGTCCAGATAATGAAATGCACTTACTTGAAGGCAGGAATACATTTCTATTCCCAGTTTTTTTAAAGAGTATTACTTCCAGGAGAAATGAAAGACTTTGGAAAGGAAAAAATCTGTAAGCAGTGAAGTACTACATGCGAAAAAACCCTGAAGAAAATGTTACTGGATTAATCTAAGTAAGATTTATGCATTGCAAACATCTCCATCAATCAACAATCAATCCATTGTTTGAATTGTATCAAGTTTTACTGACATATGAAAACCAAAATTGAGTTACTTGACAAACTTAATTATAAGTAATACCTGTTTGTCAAAAGTGTAGGGTTTTTGTCTCCCTTAAGATGAATTTCAAATTTCAAACCCCTTTTGTCCTTCACTGTCATGAAGGGGGAAGCCTCTGGATCACACTACACAGCACAAGCTTACTATAGCACAAAAGTAGACAGGTCTGAACATTGAACAAGCTATGTATGGGAAACAAGTGAAGTAAGCTTGAGCAATGGAAAAGTGCCTGAGAGATGATCTTATTCTCAATTTACATTAGGTTCAAATTGTGCTCCAGTCACGTATTCTAGCTTTCTTGTAGTCTTCAATCTGTTATGTATGCTCATGTGAAGTGTTATACATAGTTTTTGGTCACTGAAGTTTGAAAGGTCTGTCAGTAATATTTTAGGTCTCTTTAGAACATCCCTATTCTTTCACAGGGGCTATTTCTCAAGACAACCATTAGTGCAGCAAGAGAAGTCCTACACACACACAGACATCAAATAACACATGGCCTTGATTTTTTTTGGTTCTTCTACTAGAATCTGAGAGTCAGATCACTCCACAATTACAAAGCCAATATCTGCCAGCTTCTCAGATCAAAGCAATGGTCTTCTTGCTAATTTGTCAAAGAAACAATAAATCACACCACACTTGGATAAAGCAAATAAATCATTTGCATACATGTAACACAGAGGTATGTAGGCTGCATTTTTATTAAAGTCAGCATTAAACAACCCAAAGTCAAATCAACAGATTCTTATTCTTTTCTACAGTGCTCATGACAAATTATCCATCACTGTGACTTTTTTTTTTTTTAATAAAATCAAAACCAGGGAGGAAAACAAAAAAAAAGTCTTTATGAAAGTACAGGACGATCCAGTTTCTGTAGCTTTTACATTGCTGCTGAAGCCAGGAGAGAAGAGAATCAGTATTTATGCACTGACCAAATGACCAGTTTTAGTTTTACTGTAATGAACACATTTCCTAAGTTGAAAGTCTTGGTGTGAGTATGTAAATCACACTATAAAAGTGCAGAACTCTCTCAGAAAATCTAGACACATTCAGAAAAGACTGATAAAAGCAAGAGAAATGCAAAAAAATAAAGCATTTGTGTTTTTTTTGCATCAGGAAAGCAAAAAAAAAAAAAAAATCATAGACATACCTTCGGCAAGTGGGTCAAGTGTGTGAATCATGAGCTGGAAGATGCTGTTCCTCATTAGACTGTTGTGGAGCGATGCAGAGCTTCCTCCCCGCTGGAGACGTGGCTTGGTCTAGGGTAAAAAATATGGTGAAGAATTTAGGGTCTTTTTGTTTTTTGTGTGGAACAATGTCTGAAAGAGTATGCATTAATCTCACACCTCACTGTATGATGAAACATTTTGAACTATCAAATATAGCAGGTTATGTTAAGCTACAGAATTTATCATCCATTGTCATAACTATAATTTCTCTGGAGGGGATGGATTGTCAGAACAGCCATTAGTCTCTCAGGACTCAGGAAAAAACATGGCAAAAAGAATCTTTCTTTGTGAAAACTCATAAAGTGTTAAGAAAATGAAAACTTCAGACTTGTATCAGGAAGAACTAACAATTTGTTTCTTTGCAGAACCTTTTGCTTGAATCACTGAAGTAAGTTATAATTTTTATTACTTCAGTACATTGCAAATATGCGTATGATCAAAATTATGGAGAAAAAGGGCAGACAGTAGTATCCTTTTTAATGGCACTCAGTCAGAAACATGCTCCTCGCTTTGGCTGGATCCACTGGTCTCATGGCAAAAAGAGACTGAAAGTGTGGTAAGGCAGTTCAGACATCTGCAGCAATGAATCTAATGTACAAGCATCTTTTGCATACTTGGAATGAAATACAAAACATAGTTTAAGATTCTGTTCCCCATGCAGTTGTCTACTACAATAATCAATGCATCATATATATCTCACAGAATAAGACTGTTTTGTGGCTGTTGGTTTCAATAAAAAGGATAGTGAGAGCCAACAGACTACTGACTAGAAAGACCCTGAAATCCAATTAGAGGAAAAAAACCAACACTGAAGAAAATAATATTTGGCAAAAATACATGGATTAATCTTTGGTATCATACACATACAAAGTGATAAATTATAGAAAACAATAAAGAATACTAATTCACTGTTTTATGTTTGGAAATAAATGATTTCAACTCTGTAGCAGTATAGGAGGAGAAAGAAATCCCAGCAATTTAGAAAAATGTTGATGCACAGCAAACTAATGTAAGGCTTGTCTCACCACCCTCCTGAGAAACAAATGCTCAGATGTATAATTGTTGCCTACCGTCAACGTTTGGTCATCCTTGTCTCCAGCATTAGGTGACTGCATGAATAGGAAAAAGAACAAAAAGAAGTGTCAGATGGAGCACATAGGGAATGGAAAGGCAATAGAACATCACACATGTCTGATCCTATGAATTCTGTTATGATAGATTTTTGAACAACTCAAGGCATCCCACTGATCAAGTAAATCAGAGTAAATTTACGCTGCAATGTGCAAGCGCCTTTTACTCTTGTCAGTTTCTTGGACAGGAACTGTTTTCTTTTCAGGCCTGGCACAGCAGCTGGGCTGCAGATCACAATGTTCACTTCAGACAAATTACCCACGGAGGCAAACTCCCTGTACAGAAACCAGTTTGAGAGAGTGAAGATTGAAGACTAAGGGCAACAAGAAACTCAGGATTGACCAACTGTTCCACAAAAAAAGTCTAAAAAGGAGTAACCTTTGTATTTTGCAGGAAGAGACTAGGCAAGGAAATGAAAAAATGTGTTTCCATTTTACAACACCCTACAAATTACCATTTAGCTCTGATTAAGGGCAAGCAGCATGGCACACACTGCCCTGCCATGAAGGAAAATGAGACTCTGAATGGGTCTTAAATTATTTTCTCCATCTCAAAGACTCTTTAGTGCTATGTAATACACAGAAAACAAATTACATCACAACTGTTCCACAGAACAATCTCTCCCATTCAGTAAAACACAGTTTTTGGACACACATCAACAGTGATTTTTTGGGCATGCCTTTGGGGCTAACTAACTTTGAAGGTTAAGTGGAAGGCAAGCAGCCATGAACAAACACTAATGACAGAGCAAATCCTTTATGTGCCATAATAAATACAACAATAATGATAATGAGAACCAAACTCCTTGTCAAAAATGTGCTGCTACAGCTCTGAGTATTAACTCAAAGAAAAGATAATCAGACAACAAAAACATCTTTGTTCTAGTAAAGGAACACCTGTCACCTCTAAAATAAATCTATTCTTGTATAAGAAAAAAATAGGAAAAAAGTTTTATGCTCTATTGAAGAAAACTATCACAAAAAGAACTTTGAAAGTAATAAAAAGGAAACAAAAAGAAAACACAAAATCTGTGCTCTAAAATGGCATTTTAAAAGTAGATGCATCTTAGAAAATGTTGGCCTAATGTGTACGTATATATGCTTATATATTTTACATATTCATGCGTTTCAGATAAAAACACACAAAAATGAGCAAATCCACAATTTATATATGAGTATTTTGAGGAACCTTCAAAAAAAAAGAGGAAAAAAATCCATCTCACAGCATAATTTACAAGAAGGCAAAAAGGACAAGCTGGGGACAGTTTGTATTGTCTCCAAAAAAGAAGGAGGTTAGGGTAGTTGAGTCCTAAGGATCAGTGGCTATAGTTATAGAAGTAATGTCTGTGATAGATGGATGAATGTGCAGAACTGGAACTTGATTAGAAGTTTAAAAAATGTATTATTTGGAACTTTGATTTTCTGAAGATAGGAAATCCATTTTTTATTTTTAATATTGAAATACATGAGAATGTATAATTGATGAAACTGAGTAAATTGTACTTTCTACCTGACAAAGGTCAGAAGACTATCACTTTTCAAAATTTCATGTTGAATGAAACATTTCTCATTTATTTGAAAAAAGAATGAGATGAAGCTAAATGAATGCATAAAAACAGCTAGTTGATAATTTGCACCACACAATTCAATTGGTAAAAGATAATTATATAAAAAACAGAAAGAACAATGAAACACATTTTCCATATGCATTAAGGAAACAGAAGTGTGAAATAATTTAATTATTTGCCAATACAAATTGGGGCATACACCATGAAATGGATTTTTTAATTTATTTTTTCCACACTTGATTAGCCATGTAATTGTTTCTGAGTTTAACTTGCCAGTCAAGTTATATTTTAGCAGAAATATTCAGGACAATTTCAAAAACAGGAATGTAACAATTGTTTGACATTCTGGTGATATTAAATACTTATATTTCCTGGATTCTATCCTGGAGAAACAATAAAAAAACTCACCTTTAAATAGTGTCTTAAACTATGACAGTGAAAAAATCAGTGCTGCTGTCCACAGTACTGGATGGCATTTTGTCCAAACCAGGATGAAAAATTAAACTATTTTACTATTCACAGCAAATTTTGAACATGGTCTTTGCTATTTAGTTTTGGTATCTACACTGTATGGGAAAGCATCTTAAAGTATCATTTTTCCCTTACAGAAACATTGAGTATTCAGGCATTTTATGCCACCTTAATTTGAGGCAACACTTAAAAACTGGTCCAGTTGGTGGTGTTTCTTTGCACTGGGAGCAAATACTGCATTTGTGGAACATTCAACAATAATATTTAAAAGAAAATACACGGTTTCTGTAAAGATAGGTTTGTTCTTAAATCATGGCAACTGTTGCATGTTAGTTCCCTTAGGATCAGAAAGACATGAAGGTTCCATGTCTTATAAACTACAAATATTTCTGAAGATTTTGCTAGTAAAAATTATCTTTTGCAATTGCATGCTTTAATTTCTTTAAAACCATGAATTTATTATGATTCTGCAAAGTGAAAAAATTGCTTTCTAGCATGCCTTCTTATTCAATATATTTGGGGCACAATCCATTATCCTGTTTTTATCAGAATTATAAAATGATTAATCATTAAACAGATCACTAATTTTTTTAGAGAATTCAACGGAGTATTTGTTAGTTCTCCCATTCCCCATGGCAGGACATAAGAATTTGTCCATCCTTCTGCCGCCATCAATGATCATGTATTCAAGCTTGTTTCAGATGAGCTAAAAGTCTTAAAACATTTTGTTTCAGGAAGGATGCATTAAAAATGTCTACTTGCTATGGAGTGTGACCATGTTCACAGGGGTTCTTGGATGAGGGAAGAGACGAGAATGTTGACTCCATGTTCAGAAGGCTTGATTTATTATTTTATTATATATATATATATATATATATATATATATATATATATATATATATATATATATATATATATAGCATTAAAACTATACTAAAAAGAAAAGGAAGGGAAAGGTTTTCTCAAAAGGTAGCTAAGCTAAGAATAGAAAAGAAAAGAATGATAACAAGGCAGCTCTCTCAGACTGTGTCCGAGATAGCTCCATCTTGATTGGCCATTAGTTATAAACATCCAAGATGGACCAATCAAAAATCCACCTGTTGCATTCCACAGCAGCAGATAACCATTGTTTACATTCTTTGTCTGGGGCCTCAGCTTCCCAGAAGGGAAAATCCTAAAGAAAGGATTTTTAGTGAAAAAGATGTCTGCAACAATGGAGAAATGGTTTCTGGAATTCTTTTTATATGTCTCTCTTCCTCAGTGAACTATGTTCATCAGCGATTGAGCCTGACAACTTCCTTGCCTTGTTTGGGAACATATGTTATTGAAAACCAGGGTTCTGAGTGATTAATGCAAGAAGTGATGGCTCACTAAGTGCCTGGTGAGTATCCCAGTGCTTTCCTTTGACATAAAGCGCATCATAAAAGTCAAACGAGGAGCAGAATCTAAAAAAGCTCTAGAAATTTGACATAGAGCATCCCTGTTAACAAAAGATGGCTAGTAACGAGAATCATCTGTTAGAGTGTGTAGTCCACAGGAGAATCAGAAAGCTGACTGTCTGCAGCTCGAGCAGTTGTTGCCCTAATTGAAGCTTCCATGTTAAAGGTTCAGTAGCCAGGAACAATCAGTGAACTGAACTGCACATTCTCTTCTCCTAATATGAGAAAAGTAAGCTGTCAAACAAAAGCAAGTAAAAATGTAATGGGATTTCAACACCCTTTCTGCAGTGTGGTTTCACATCTCTTTTTTGCTTGTTAAACATTTTCCAAATATAATAATGAAAAGCTGTTAAAAATCAATCAATCAATCAATCAATCAAGCTTTTTTGAGAATAATGGCATTTAGTGATATTTGTTGGTTCACAGTGTGGTGTGAATGCAATATGGTGTCTCCAATTATTGTATTATGAGCCCAGACAGGAATTTGCACAATTTCCTCAAGATGCTTTCAAGCCCAGGACTTCTGCAGTTCTCTCTTACACCTGCTTTAAAAAGTGGCATCTGGACACAGCAACTTTACAGCCGGCAGTGAGTCACCACTTGTAAGTTCTCATGTTAATTAGAGAAGATAAGTTTTGTTGGCTCATTTTTCTGGGATTGTCTAATCTTACACTTAAAGTCTGCAGGGTATTTTGCTAGACTGAACTGCAGAAAAATGAGATAGATTTCAAAGCCAGCCACTGAAGTCAATCTAGTTAACCTAAGAGAGTTTAGTTAATTTCTAAAAACCAGTATCCTAAGGAGTGTTAGTAATGCACTTGGAATAGAACTGTTCTGCATTTCTTTGAAATTATATGGTAAGTCAAGTTAAGACATAAGTAAAATCCTAGCAACAAATTCAGCTTGGTAGATTTCAGAAATAAGCCTAATAAGCTTAGTGAGGGAATCAAAAAACAAAGCTAGTATTTTATCTAGTTCTCTTAATGCATAGATCTTTGAATTTTACCAAATAAGAATCCCTTAGAGTTCCTTTCTCTGAATACTTCAACACAATCCAAAGTTATAACCTTTGCCTACTTGATGGTTGGCTCAAAAGATCAAATCCTAGTGGTCTCAATATACTTACACTAAAATTCTAGGTATCCATGGAAATAAAAGTTTACCATCACCACCTGCAGAACCTCTGTGAGGTGCTGCAGTGGAGCCAGTACAACTTTAAACTGAAGGTGACACACCTCATTACCCCACTCTCTAGATTATTTCTGTAGAAAGACTGTAAATAGCTGCAAGGGAATACCTCTATAGTAAACTGATGGTAAAGATTTTAACTTATATGTTACTGCTTAGACATCAGTATCTGAATCCAGACTGTGAATTAACACTGCATACAGGACCCTGGATCTTATTTAAAACAGAGGACGAAAAAGCTTTAGTACCTACACTATAGAAAAATACGCTAAAGTTATTTTTAACTTTGCCTTCTTTCTTCTTTTCACCTTTC